CTCTAGTACTGAGTAGTTGATACTCCCTCTCTCCACTCTGCTCTGGCAGTATTGCCTGCACAGACAGCTTCCCTGTACTGAACAAAAATCTGCTACAACTTAAATCTCCTAACTAGTCTGAGTTCAAGGGTGGACAACCTACCCAGCCTACAAATTGTAAATGTCATAAGACACGACAAATTTCAAAAGATGTGAACCACCTCCCTGTACAAACTGAATAGCAGTCAGAAGAGCAGGAAAATGGCTTCTGTGCGTTCCCATCACACCCTGCTGGCATGCACCTGGGCACATTGTTGGCTTCCTCAGCTCCTGATGGTTCATTTTGTTCCCTAGTTAGAGATCAGGTCACTCAGCCACCACCACGCAGAAGGAATCTGTGCCTTTTGTGTGCTATAACCCTAAAATGAAGCCAGGTTCTAGTCCTTGGGAACGCTAAGATTGTAGTATTTATTTTTGAAGCTTATCAGTCTAGGCAGAGACTAGGCTGACTGGACACAGCTATGGAGCTCTCTGGACCTGTAATAGTATTTCAGCGCAATACTTTGTAGGGTAGATGAAGCCTCTGTCACAAATGGATTGACAAAAGTCCTCTAAAAGTAAAGATTTGAGGTTCACAACCAAAACGCTAGGATCTCATCCTTCTAAATTACTGGTTTCAGGTGACATTTGCTCTGCAAAGTGGCACTGAATAGTTTAAAATAAATGTTTACCAAAAAAAAATTCAAAAAATCTTGCTACACACATGAACTTCCATATTTCCATTGTCTATGTGTGGGAGCCATTCAGCCTGCTTCATGTTCAGTTTTTTTGTCACAAACATTTTCTTATGACTAGTGAAGTGAACTAAGCCTGAAGGAGTCAAAAGAAAGATTATAAAACCAATTTATTCCAGAGCAAATAAAATCTTTTCAACTACCTCTATTTGTTTCTTATCTATGTTAAGTAATACTAAATAAATAAAAATTAGGCAAGAACCGTGCCCTTTCTCAAAAAACGCAGTCACTTATCCACTGTGCTGCTGCAACTAAGAAACATAAAATTAATGTAAAGGAACAACAGATATTTTTTTTTTTCTTCTAGAGCAATATTTTCTTACGATGGAAGCCAATTAGTGTTGTTCTCTGAGGAAACATGTAAACATCAGAGAGAACATTTTTTTGTCTGAAAAGAAACAAAGAGTGGAAACATTTCTGATCTAGAAAGACATTTTCACGTGCCTCCGAAAAACGAAGAGAGACAGAAAAAGAGACTACTGTGGTTTTCTAGAAAAACATAATGCAACTTTACTCTTGAAAATGCTGGAGTTCTGATTATTTTCATTAATAAAATCTACTGAAATTGTTCTGTTTCAGACACTGTCTCACTTTGCCAAAATTTTCCAGCTGAATTATTTCCCTTAAGCAGTGAAGAAAAGATGCTTCTAAAGCATTGCTGCCTGTTGAGATCAGGATTTTGGGTAGGAAGAAGTGTTTATTTCCCTCAAATGTTCTTGCAGGAAGATTGTTGCTTGTCTTCATCTTGAAGTTATTTTTTTCCTCTTCTGGGATGCACCTTCCTCTCTCTTCAAAAGACTCCTGTTTGTATTAGAGTGCCTTGAAGACAAATGTGATCCTGCTCTGGGAGAAGCCTTGGATCCTGCCTTAGGAAACAGAAAAGCACTATGACTATCGAGCTGTGTGCCTGTCCCTGTGCAAACATCTATTATGGCCTGATACATCTATTATGGTCTCATGCAGCCTGAGGTGGCTGAAGGAGTTAAACAGTGAGGCAAATAATGAGGTAAACAGCCTATCTGCACAAATAAGTCTTTGAACTGACATTTGAAAGTGAAAAAAACCCGAAAAGTTTGCAAATTAAGCCAGAAGGACAGTTGGAGATGTACAGCACCAGTGGCACAGCTCCTCCGCAGAGCTCTGCGTGCTGTGGACACCAGCTGACAGGGGAGGTGGAAAAAGGAGACTGGAGACATGAGAGAAGGTACCACATTTTCAAATTTTCCAGAAAATTCCAGGGGTCATTCTCAGTTTCCAGGGACAAATTCCAGTTTAGACAACTTGCCAAATGCTGTCAAAAAGGAAGAAAGATCAAATAAACCATATAAGCAAGGTCTTCCTGCCAGCTCAACAGACAGTTGTGTCTCTCTCTTTTGTGAGAGAACCCTAATTGTCAGGAAATACCACAATCTGCTTCAGCAGATGACAGTCAGAAAAGCATAGAGAAAACACTAAATCCTTCAGAGGAGTATGGTCAGAAAACTCTGAACTGCTTCAAGTGATGAAGTTGATATGTTTTAGGGAATTAACACCTGACAGCTGGAAATTTTAAACTCACTACTGAAAGCAGGGAACTGGCTGTATTCCTTCCACTATCTTGCTAATGCAGAATAAAAATGTGAATTAATCTTGTTGTTTCTGGTTTGTTTTGACTTTTTATTTTTTTAAATGATGATTTTTTTTTTCTTATCTAGATATTTGAACTGTTTTAACTACACACATTTTTTTGGCAACAGGGAGGTTGCCCTGATTTATTTGCACAGATAGCTAGTCCTTTGCTGAAGTCCTTTATTTTTGAAAGACTCGACCTTAAAAAGCTGATTTTGTCATCAAGGGGAATCTTGTATTTTTGTATTTGTTTTTTTTCTTTAACAACATGAGTGCATCCAATTTAACATGAGAGTACTGATGTGATCTTTTTGAGCTTCTCTCTCTCTTAAAAGTCTTTGGTTTTTAAAATATATATACAATATAAATACATACTAAGATACTTGGTGTAAAAGGACACAGACATATTGTAGCAGATAGATCAATGGAGGTGAATAAAACTAACATAGAAGTAGCTAAACCCAAACAAGACCAATGGCTTCCTTGCTGCTGCACAAAAGTCTTGACATGGGTGGCACTTCTAATTTTTTTCCAGAGATCACTTGTTCTCATAGTAATAGCTGTGATAAAATATCTTCTGGTCATGTCTCTAAAGCAGAGATCTAAAGTCCTCTCTAGGCAAAGATGCTTTTACAAGGAATTTCTTGGCTTTTGAGAAATTAAATATACTTGTCATTACACTAATGTTGTAGTTCCAGTTTTTTTATGACACTTATGCAAACATAGTTAATCTAAGTAGAACATATAGTGAGGTCCCTATGTGAAAAGTCATCACATCTAATCTGATTTTAATAATACTATATTAGTATTTCAGGGTTTCCTGTTTGCTTGGCCAACATAGATATTATTCTGCAACCTCTCATCTGCAGTTGTGGTTGCTTTTTTGACTTGATTTGGTAACAATATTTTAGAAATGCTGAGGTCTTTCCAATGCCTTAATTCCAAAACAAAGGTCATGGGAAAAACTCTTATCCTTGAGTGTAACCACAGCAAAGTGAAGCCAGGGCCAGAGATAATATCTTTGAATGATAAAGAAAGCAGATTAAACACATGGGACTGTCCAGAGACATTTACACATAGGGCAAGCCGTTAATGGGCAATGAACTAATGACAAATCTTCATAAAATGTTTTCTCTGTGCCCAGAACCACTAACGAGATACGTAAGAGATGTACACTTAGCCACATATTAGGCACTCAGCTTGGGTGACTAGTGTCCCAAGATATCCAATTTAGTTGGTATAGCAGGACGAGCTTCTCCAGACAGCAAGTCAGAGCAGGAGCTGCAGAGGTGACAGGGAATATTTCTCATTGTGTTAAGGAAGAATTGAGTCGTAGCAGTTTAATATATCAGACCTGACTGTAAAATCTCTTTATCTGCTTGGTGCAATCAGGGATTGAAAGCATATACCTGTGCTATGAGGCACTGAACACACGAAGGCACGAGCAGTTACCTATGGGACTAAACAAAATGAGAACACTATGCAAGCAAATGATAGAAGAAACAGAAACAGTAAGGCAGCAGAAAAACAAGCCAAAATGCTACAAACGTATGCACTTCTCAGTCCTTTCGTGTTATTCTTCATGTGTATTCTCCACTGGTTCAGCTGCATTGTTCTGTTCATTAAGACCATGTGGAATTTACAAAGAGCTTAAATAAGTCCAGCAGAAACATCCCACAATTATTCTAAACTGTGGGACAGAGTACATTGCAGAGAGTTAAAGATGAGATGGGCAGTGCCTGTTAATAGCAAGAAAAGCCCATACAGCTTGCAGCCTGGTGTTTTAATAAACAGCAAATATACTAGGGATGAACACTACAGATCTATGCTTAATTCTCCTTCAAGTCATTGCACTTCTGTAAAGGAATCTGCAAGGATACAGTTCTGTCCTGTGCATGAATGGTTTTAACCTCTGTGTGGTGTCATCCTGACAGAGCTTTCCTCCTCATTTTGTATCCCTTATGTATTTCTGGGCTTCAGCCAGAACCAGAACCAAAAATGAGACACTGTAACTCTGAAGATATTTCTGTCTGGGAACCCAGACATGGAAAATGTCATGAGAAAGCATGCTGTGCAACTGCTAGACAGGTTTGGTGAATTTGAAAGGTGAGGGTAGCCTGGACAAAACTTCACATTGGTGCAATTTGGATGTAAACTATTAAAACTCCTAATTAGTCTGAATAATGTCTGTGCCTATATTCACTCCACTGGGAATGGATCTGTAGAGCAGAACAGCTGGTACTGAGGACCTGTTATCACTGGGCTTATTTTGGGAGAGATTTACATCAGACAGGCTTCCAAATGATTTACATTCCGAAATTCCTCTGCAATAATAACCAGAGTATGATAAGTGGAATCAAAAGCACACCTCTGACCCAAGAATAAGTGGTAATGTACACAGACCTGAAGGTACTTGGCAATGAAATCTCGTATCTGAATAATGCTTTAAATTATGAAGATGTTTTATAGACATCCATTGTAGACAGTTGGAAAATGGACTTTTAACAGAAAATAAATTAATCCAAGATCTCCTAAATTCCAAAACATTTGTCTGAGATTTCAACAAAAAAATATTGGTGAAAATTTAAACACTTCTTCCCCCCCCCCAGAAAAACATACCGAGATATTTTGATTCTACATTTCTTGGCTCTTTGCATCGCGTTCATCTGATTCACTCAGTGAGGTTCCCAAATCTTAACTCTGTGCTTTGGAAAAACCAGATCCATCTAGTAGATGCAGACAACATCAAACAAAAAGGATTAGCTCATATGATACTTTTCTCATTTTCATTCTTAATCTTGGGAAGGACCCAGAACAAAAGTCAGAGTAAGAAAATAGGATTCTGTTTCCAGTGGAAGAAGTTAAGTGCCCACCTGTCAGGTAAATTAAGGTTCTCCACAGTTTGCAGCCACTCTTTATAGCCAGCCTAGGGAGGCAAACTAAATAGCTCAGTGTTGCACTAGACTCATGAATTCAACTATCAGAAACCAAATAAAGAGAAAGCTATGACTAATTCACTGCCCAAGTAACTACTATTATTGATTATTACACTGTCCAAGAGGTGAGAAGACAACTAGAGGTTTCCCTCACTTTTAGTTCAAGTTCAGGTGGGGTTTGATTTAACAGTAGATGAAAAATAAGTCAGGTAGTGGATTTTGTAGCTGTGAAACCTCTAACTCCCTGTATGCTACATGGCCTTTCCACATACAAAGAAAAGCCTGACCAAAAAGCAATTCTTGCCTGCTGAAATGAAGGAATGTCACCACTACCATCAGAAGTACTATTAAACTGACACACATGTAAAAGCTGTGCATTTCATACAGTAGAAATAGGGGGACACATGCAGACAGTATAGAATTATAATACACCATATTCAAAATAAAGGGAGGCACATCTCAGTTCAGGAGTCATTCAGTGTCTGCAACACCTCTGGGTACACATAAAAGATTTGATTTTTCCAAGTCTGAATACCTCTATGATAAAAACAGCCTGGGAGAGCCTTACTTTGCCAAAGAGTTTGCTATTCAAATGCGATGCATGTAATTAAGGGCATTTGCATCAAATTTCCGCATCCTCAAGGCTCAGGTTAGAAACATACACATCTGTCACAACCTGACATGTTCAATGAAAGAGGAAATAGAGTTGAAATCACTACAGAGTGGTTATTTTTAACTGGAGAACCAGTCAAAATACAAAGGAAGGACACAAGAAAGGAAAGCATGCGGGGACTGTCAAGAGTATGTCAGAGCTGCAATGTTAATGGTAAAAAACCAGCACAAAGCTTTTTAATTTCATGTCCTTCATCTTCAGGTCTCAACAGTTATAATAATTCTTAAACATGTGATGTGTTTGTTAGCTAAAAGTTAATGATCTTTATTTATAGAAACTTAAGGAGGAGCTCATCACTTCCCATGGATGGCAACAGTCTCCAGAATAGATTTTTAGTCATGGGAATTACTGAGAAGATTTAGTAAACCTGGGCCTGTTGATGTTGTTTCAAATTTTAGGGACCAGACAATGTCCTCTTTCAAAATGTCCTTTAGATTATGTTGGTGTTTTATCAGACTGCATAAAGAGAGTTTTTGGCTGATAGTGCCACATAGCTCTGCTGTATGACCGTTTTACTATTAAAATTTTCTTTTCTTGAGGATAATTTTAGGCAAATAGCATTTACCCAGTGTTCTGTTTTCAGCTGGGATAGAGTTAATTTTCTTCCTAGTAGCTGGTACAGTGCTGTGTTTTGGATTTACTTTGAGAGTAATGTTGATAACACATTGATGTTGTAGTTGTTGCTGAGCAGTGCTTACAGGATTTGTCAGCTTCACATGCTCTGCTAGCGAGGAGGCTTGGGGAGGGCACAGATAGCTTGGATGGGACATACCAGGACAGCTGATCCCAGCAGCATGTTCAGCACACAAAATAGGGAGAAAAGCTGGCCAGGGGCCAATGCTCAGGAACTGACTGGGCATCGGTTGGTGGTGAGCAACTGTTTTTGCATTTGCATCACTTGTTTTTCTTGAGGTTTTTTCCTCCCTATTTCTGTTATTTTCTCCTTTATTACAATTTTTATTATTATTATTAATATTATTATTATTATTATTATTATTATTATTTCAATTATTTCAATTATTGCACTGTTCTCATCTCAGCCCATGGGCTTTCCTACTTTTACCTTTCTGATTCTCTCCTCATCCCATGGAGGGGAGAAGGGCAGAAATAAGTGAGCAGTTTTGTGGTGCTTAGTTATTAACTGGGTAAAACCACAACCTCCAGGCTGTTGAGGACCTCCAGATTCCTTCTTTAGACCCATTTTGGATGCCACACTGGTACCACTTAAAAATAATGCCAGTAGTTATACGAGCAAATTTCCTCTTCTGAAGGTAACATCCTGCTTTACAGTTAGGCAATGTTCCAAACCACAGGCATCTAGCTGAGACTACAAAACCAGCTTAATCAGGGTTAAACTCCCAAATTCCCACTGTTTATTGCACTATGCTTAGTAGAACAAAAATATGCAGAAGATCAAGAGTTGAATCAAACAGCTCTTCCTTTAAGCAAGGTGAATATTTTGAGTTGAAACCCTGGTCAACTTAGGTCCATGGTAAATGCTTATTATAACAGCCTTCTATTTAAAGCAACATAAAAAGCCTCTCTGGCAAACTAACAAAGCCCCAGACAGTTAAAACATTTAAAATTTAAAAGAATAAGGAAAGCTTTCATTTTAACACTAGCTCTTTTTCCCTTTCCCTTTGGATGTAGAGAAATTTTTTTCTGATGCTGCCTCTTCCTTGACTCTCTTTCTGTTGGTAATGGAGGTGGCATTAATTGCCCTCTTGCATGTCAGTGTTATCTAAAATGAGCTGCTGAAGCTGCTGCTGTTGATCTCTCTTATGATCACGAATATGTTTTCTTGGAGACATAATAGGACAAATACCCAGAGAGTGAGGAAGAAAGAACAGCAAAGATAAATGTGCAGCTTCTGATTCTGCAGACCATTGCATGAAGTGTCTCTGTAAGAGAAACAAGTTTTGGTACACATCCTTATCAGCTGCCTAGATCCGGGTAAACATACTTCACCTACTGGCTATTTCAGACAGAGCTGCCTTCCTACTCACAGGCTGAGAGCAGCACAGCCACAGTCTTCTTTTTCTCAAATTAGATTATTTTCCTTAGTAAAATGCAAAGGAAGAAAGGAAACAGAGTCAAGGATAGAAAGAGCACACGCTCAGAGGTGGGCAGCAGTGGAAAGATAAGCAATCCTCCAGGTGGGAAACATTAATTTTTTTTGTGGCACATTTTGTTCACTTTTCTTGGAAGGTTGGAGAAATAAAGGCAGACTGACAACTCTAATGGAAGCTGTGGTCTCAAAGGCTTGCAAGAAGGTCAAAAAGGGTGGAGAAGGTTATTTATTTTCACCCATTTGTAATGCTGGTTTCAGCATTAAATTAAAAAATCTCAGAAGAGGTGTTTTCTCCATCCTCTATTCTGCTCACACTTTTTTCTGATGTTTCTGTTCAGTTCAGGGACTGCCATTTGTTTAATAGCAGAATCTAAGCCAGGTGGTTAAATGGTACCAACAGATTTAAAAATTAAAACATCCATCTTTACATCTTTAATTTTAAGCTAAATGTATAATTTGCAATTGTACTTTTTTTTGTCTCAGTCAGCATATATTGTCTGTACTTCACATTCAACCTTGAAAACACACACATTTCCTTTTGAAACTTTTACAGGAAGCTTGAAGTTTTTGATTTTCATTTTTTTACTTACATTCTCTTTCTGCTATAAGATAAGGCCTTAAGCGACGAAACGCATTTCGTCTGCATAACTAGAGTTATTGATTTAGCATCCAAAAAGAATTCATCATCAGATTTATATCCTGCCCTCCATTAATTTAACTAGTCTTCCACAACCATAGTCTCTGGAGACAAGCCTACATGAAGAAATATATTCTCTGTTAATTCCATGTTGAAAAATCAGTGTAGTGTCCCAGAACTCAGTGTTAAAATTCATCTTACTCAAATTAAAAAAAGTTTCACTCCTTTGCATGTTACAATGGTATTTTATGTTGCAGTCACCAGTGACATGAAGAGAACAGATGCTGAATTGTACCTGAACCATGCAGAGATTAAATATGGTCATAAGAACAGCAGTTCTGTTCTTATGATCCTCTGCCATCCTTTCTGACTTTGTGGGGGATGTTTTTAGGATGCTGGTCTACGGATGGAGTACCTCACCCCAGGCATTGGGAGCACTATAGCATAAAGTTCATCAGTGCATATTTCATCCATCATAACAACAACTGGCCATGTCAGTGGGAACATAAACACAAATGGCCTTCAATAAAACTGGAATGGTCTTCAGGACCCATGAGCATCGTTAACTGTTGTGGTATTTATGGATGCTTTGATGTACAAAAAAGCATGATAGTTACATTTCCAATTATGAGTTTAGAAGGCTAATTTATGAAAACCATGTTTGACAATAATGTAGCTGAGGCTTCTTTTAGTAGTCCTGATGTTACATCAGATGTAAAGGACACTGCATGGACTTATTCCACACTCCAACCAAGAAATATATATATATTTTTTTAATATAAGCAGCAGGTTCTCTACAATCATATTGCAGACAACTGAGTTGCTCAGAGATTTTCATGTCAGGTTCATGAAGCAGTAAGGAAGGCTTCCCTGCAGTCCAAAGCCCGGAGTTTGCTGCCATGACTTCCAGTAGGTTGTGTGAACAGGGTGGGAATACAGATGCCCACTTAGATTATTTTAAAGCCATCCCAAAACAGTAGCCTGAGGAGCCTAGTGATAGCAGTGCTCAAGTACTTTGCTATGTATTTGGTCTCATTAGAATTGCTTTCTTCAGTCTTTTCTTTCCTCCTGTCTTTTCTTTCCCAGAAGCCCTGAAGTAGAATGTCAAAACAAACAGTACTCAACTGGGAGACAAACATTTGATTTTGTGATGTTAAAGTGAGTTTCAGATGAGGTGAAACTATCCTACAATACCACAGAATGCATCTCAATTCAGACAGGGGAAGAACTTACCTAAAAATGAAATAGCAACCTAAATCTACAGAGAGCTGCTAAATCACTTCCACATTGCAGCTGATATTATAATTTCCAGGAAAGCTCCACAAAGGCCTTCATACAAGTATGAGGAAAGTAAGCTGAGATATAAACATTAGGTTATTTGTGCAGAAGGCCAAGGACATGCTAAAGTGTTTTCCTATTTTTCTGTCCTTCATGTTCTGTGAAAAATCAATATTCCTCTCAGACGTGTCATATTGTACATTGAGTTGCATAGCAGTACCTTTGCACTGCATGTACCTTATTCTCTTTGAAACTGCTGGAGGCTTGGATAGAATTCAAAATAACGACAGGTTCTGCTAAAAAGTCTGAATCAGAAACTTCAGATCTGCTTCCTTCAATTGAAAGTAGTGGAATTAGGCCCTTTTTTTTAATTTTTTTTTTTTTTTTTCAGGGCTAGGGTCAGCCCTTAAGGAGGACAAAAAATTGGACCAATTGAGGCATGGTGTTCTGACCAGGCAAGAGCAAGTGACCTGATTGTTGCAGTGGAACTGGGGAACATTTGAGAGATCGCACTGACCTTGTAAAGTCCAAGTGACGCACACCACTGGAAAAGAGAGTGGTTCTTATAAAAACCAAGAGTAGTCTTGCCATGACAGCAAAACAAGACAGAAAAGAAAACATTTCCACATGCAAACTGCCAGCAGTCTTTACTACCCCGAACATACAGAATCAGCCACCAAGATGACATTTCTGTTGTGCGTTTAACAGCTGCAATGCAGTCACCATGTCCCACTGAAACCAAGAGACAAGGGATGTAGTTTTCACACTATATGTCAAAACAGTCTAGAAAATGTCATCTTTCCTTCCTTAGTGTTTATTCTGTTTGCCTTGGTTACCTTGCAATACATGACCAGAACAAAACAAAACAAAATCATTTTATCACCCAAAGAAAACTTACCAGGTTTGAAACATTTTTGCCTTCCATTTAAGGAGACACACATACATGCAAAAAGACATGAAAATTTTCACAAACTGAAAGTCTCCCAAAAAGTAGATAAAATTTTCCCTAATTTTATAATTTGTTTTCCGTTTCACCAGATATGATTACTTCTGCAAATGAAATTTTAAAAAAAAAGAGCAAAGCAAAGCAAAAAGTACTTCTGAGTGTAAGAAAATCTTTGGTTGTTTAGTGTGTCAAAGTCAAGCTTTGGGTGATTTCCATGTCAGCATATTGCAAGAACTGGCAAGTGAAATTGAAGGTAAAGTGCCTCAAGGACAGCTGTAATTTTGTCTCAAAATGGCACTTTTCTCCTGAAAGCCACAGTGAAGTGCATATATCTTGAGAGTTCAACGAGTGCTGATGTGATGCCATTGTTAGAAAAGCTGATGCAAACCTACCAGATTGTTCTTCAGTACCACATGTATGATGATCTGCAGAATTGCTCTCTGATCTCCTGTGCACCAGACATCTACCAACCGATTGCCTGGAAAAGGACTCAATGACATAAGTAGATAAAATTCCAGAGTTACATAGCAAAATTTATCAAATTAGTTTTCAAATGTAATATGTGTTGACCTCAGCTCTTTCCTGGATCAGGTTAAATTTTAAGAAAATCAGTATTTTCCAAAAGATAAATATCCTCAAATCCCTTCTCAACTCTCATCTAAACTTTCAGTACTATTGCCCTTTGGAGCCACACACATTTGCTTTAGCAAGGCATTGTGCCATTTCTTCATCAACTCAGTCTTAGTATTCATCCTGTATTTTGTATAGGAAAGTGAACCTGAAGAACAAGTAGTGGATCTAAAAGAGGATAGTACCTTATTAAAAAGTATCTCATAAAAAAGGAACATCAATTGACCTGGAGGCAAAATAATTTTATTGCAGCTCCCTCAGCAGTGAAATACAAATGACTACAGCATGTTTTACCAGGAAAATTAAGGTCTGATCTTCTGTTCCAAGCATCCAGCATTTAATACATTAAAATATGATTTAAACTTCTAGTCAGGTTGGCACTGGTGTACTACTTTGACTTGTGTACTACCCTGACTGAGGACACAGGAGGTGTCCTCTAATGCCTTGGTACACAATGGTACCTACTACAAGCACAGCTGACAGCACTGAGACTGAATTTGCTGTGTAACCCATTCCCCATGATCAATTATTCAGAATTTAGGCTACCGTTTGGAGATGAAGTTTATACATTATATCTTTTTGCCTGCCCACCCACAACTGACGGACTGGGTAATTTCAACAAAAATTATTCTTTATCACTGCTGAAATCATGGTGAAGGGAAAATACATTACACTGGTTTGATTGGGAAGAGTCCTGGTCTTCATTTTTCTGAATACTGATTTCCTTTCAGTCTCTAGAGATGTCATTTACATTTGGGAACAGAATAAACTCTTGTCAATGTCTTTTACCGTGTGAAAAAATTGTCCAAATTTGATCAAGCCATAAGGCTGGAAAAAAGCAATTTACATACCATGTGTTCTCTAGAAACTTCATATTCTGTTACCCTAATCTTCAAAGATTTCATCTAGAGAATAATGTTGTGATCTAGTCTCAGAGCTCTGCTCTCTACATCAGGGCATGCTGAAACCTAATGTACTGACAATTCTATGGAGCTTGCTTTAAAAAAAAGTTACAAAAAACAGTGCACATTTATTTTAATAACGCAGGGTTTGTATGAACTAGAAATTGGGGGGAGTTAATTTAGTAAGGGAAATTTTTTATAAAATGTAAGTATTCCTGATGATACCATGTATTTTGCTGTTTTGGAAATTAGCAAAAGAAGACTGTCAAGAAAAAAAAAAAAGAGGTAAAAGTGGTCTGAAACAATCCATTGCAATAACAAATGAAATTACATGTATTATAGGAGGAGCTCATGAGTTATGGTAACAGATTCTGTGACCCATAGTCATGGGACTGGTATGTCTACACAGCAAAATTAAGGAAATGTTAATTTGGGAGATATTAAGATGAACACAAACAATGGGGAACCAGGAGCATTAACAGACTTGGTCTAACACATTAAAGATTCCAACTTCATTTGTCCTCCCTTTTGGGATTGGCAGAATTTCATAATTGCAGTTTTGGCATACATCTGTTTGCTTGGCTTATCTGATAAGTGTGCTCAAGCAAGGCTATGAGACTTTGTAGGCATAATACTTGTGTGATATCTTTTGCTTTGGAAACAGATCTTAAATAAATCACCCTCATCAAATTGAATTCAAATTAATTCCTTCAACAGCTATGAGTGCTAACCAGATGTGTTCATACATTATTTTAGGAAAACAGCAAAGACATAAGGAGAAGAAAAAAGATCAGGGACCAATTTGAAGGGAACAAAATGAAGAGCATCCATATAATGGAGAAGATATTTTCCCAAACATCCAAAAGGTCTTAAAGATTTCCACATCTTTGTTCATTGTCTGAAAGATATCAGCTGTGAAACAGCCATGAGAGGGAAAGATTTGCTAGCCGACTTCTTCAAAAAACTTACTAGGAGTTAAAGAACAAATCATTTGATTCTAGAGAAAGGCTGGGAATTAAACAGAACACTCAAAAAGTGGTGGTGGGCAGTAGGGGAGGGAGGAGGAAGAAAGATAGGTAGAAGGAATAAGAAAGCACTACTTTGGCACAGGTAAAAAGACTTTTCTCCAAAGCCCAGCTGGAGAAAAAACTAGCAGAGGACATCCAGAGCAATAAAAGCGGATTCAACAAATAAAATAGTTTCAAAAGAACTTCTGGGAAAAGTTGGGTCTGCTGCTGAATGGAGAGAGGGCATAGTGATGGATGATGTAGGGAAGGCTAAAGTGTTCCCTGCCTTTCTTGCCTTGGCAAAGCCTGCTCCAGCACTTAAGTATGTACCAGCACAGCCAACAAAGAGTCAGACATCACCGTGCAAGGAACAGGTGCTGTCATGCTGAGCTGCACTGGTTAATCACAATGTGGACTGCTCAGTTTGTTGACCCTGAATTGATGCCGTTATTTTTGTCTGTGGTCATTAGTTCTCTAGGCAATTTTACCTACAAGAACAGGAAAGGTGGAAAGAGAAAAGGATGAAACAATGCACAAGCTTTACAAATACTGAGTTGTTCAAGTGTTATTCCTGTATGTGGCACAGTACTTTTGGAGATGGCACATTTCTGTGCCCAGTCTGAGGGCATGGGATAGCACACTGCAGTGCTGTGTGCATGAAGAAATGCTTGTCTCTTCCTTTTTCCCTTGTCCTTCATGCTCACAACTCCCTGCTTCCCAAAATTAACACTTGAATTGAAAGTTCAAAAGGTGTCAGGGCTAACAAGGATTACTCATGCAAATCAAAGGCAATCAAAACACCTCACAATCTGCCCAGTCATAATGTCTGCATTAATAAAAAACCCAGTCAAAACCCAGTGTTTAAGTCATCAGTTATGAAAGCTCTTCATGTTTTCTGTGCTTGGAGAGCAATGTGCTACTCTTAATCACAATGATGTAAAGAAATCTATTCAGAAATCCACAATTTCATTTTAATGTGGCATCTGCAATGTCTAAACTGGCAGTATGTTTCCTAAAGATACAACACAGAAGTTCTGCTCCTTCACCTTAAAAGACTCACAAGTGAAACATCCTGTGTACCCATTCACACTCCAGATGTTAATGGACCCTAGAGTTATTTTGGTAGGAAGCTGGTAGGAAAACTGTATCAGATGCTTTCTCTAGAGGAGAGAGGGAGGGAAGATTCTGTCCTGAGAAGTGAAAGCTCTGGGCAAGAAGATGAGAATGGTGATTTGCTGCTTGGCAGCTGATCATATGAATAGTTTTAGACAGAAGCAAGAAGATTTTCTGCCATATAAGTTTCTCAATTTTTCCTTTTGCAAGAGCACTTTCACTACAAGATCAGATGATGTTTAAGTGCCAGTCTATCTTATTGTTAACTTAAACAAAAAGATAGTATTTTCCTCAGTGGATTTCCCCTGAGCCACAAATGTGTCTGGTTTTCCTGTGCTGTTGGCTGTGTGTCCTTCCTGCTGTTTGGTTTGATAACTGTCACCTTCACACAACCAGTTTTACCCCAGCCATCACCATGGTCTGGATGCTCAGCTGATACACGTCTGTATAGCTCCAAGGCTGTCAGCACAAGCACACAGATTAGGCCTGTGTCTATCTCCTGGACAACTTCATTCTTTACAAACCAAAGGTTTTACCTTTTCTTTGCTCAGTGTTTAAGGAGAGCAAGTTTTGTCCAAAATAACTAGCTTAAAAAAATTGCTAAGCTGGTGTATGTTGGTATTTATGATTTGCATTCTTGATTGTTACAACTCTCATAAAATGTTTATAAGTTGTCACTTAAAAAGATACTTTCAAAGACAAGACATATGGCAAGCTAACCAAAAGAACACTTTTATGGAGAGACTTGCTGCTCACAGCAGCTGACACACAGTTATTTAACAGGATACACTCAACCCTCGGAGTCAGGCATCCAGTCCTGAAAATGCTGCACTTCACTGCAGACAGCAGTAAAAGGTAGATACAGCAAAGCAAACATTTTAACTTGTGTAGCACAAGGAGTCTAACCAGGGCTGCAGAAGCCTCACTGTGAGCTGTTCAGCAGGGTAAAAAATGGTGCTTTCCTGACTGAACTTATCGCCCGTCCTTGGAAGTGGGACTGTAACCACAGAAAGTGGCAGTGGGGCTCATCTGGTGAGTAAAAGTGAAATTTTAATGATCACAGAAAGAAATCAAAGGACTTAAAGATGTTTCAGCAGGAGAATTTTAGCTCTATGTGGTCAAGAAGCATACATGAACTCTTTGTTGATGACTTTCTGTCTCACATCCTGTCATCCAGGGACAAATGCTATTACATTCAAGATCATGGGAATTTTACAAATAATGTGCCTGCAGTGATTTTTCAACTACTGTAATTTATACCAGATGAGTACTTGGCTAAAAGATTGTATTTCCAAACCTAACTAATCCATTTAAAATTAATAAAGAGATGAATTAAAAAAATATTCTGAAAGAGAGTTTTTCAGAGAAAAAATTTCACAGCCTGCCATGAAGACTTCAGATGATCTTTAAATAAAGAACCAACAAAAAATATAAATTGAGACATATGTTACAGGAGTACAGAAGTTACATTAGCATTAAAAATATTTTATTGTTGTATTTTTTTGTAAACTGGAAGGTGTCTGTATATCTACTCTGTAACCAAAGACAAGTGTATAAACAACCAAGTGCCAGGAGAGCCTCAGGAAGACTTCTCGATAACAAGTTGCAACTGCAATAATAGAAACTACTTGCATTGAGTCCTTTTCCCTGCTATTCAACTTCCTAACACACAAACAGAGCTAGGGCAAAAGAATTATATTCTGATTACCTTGGTGAGGTGTGCTCACATACTCAAGTGAAATTCCTGTGCAAATTTATTTATTTTTTACAGAAAAGAAAGACTCAAAATGGATTTTGGACAGCACCTCAGTAAGGCTCATTATTTC